AGCAGTGCATTGTTTAAATCAGTCACAGCGCATGTTTCATTTAACCCAATGGCGAATTTCCTTCTTTCAGTTTAATAAATGCTTTAAGTTTGCATTGCTGCTTTTATTCCTCTTCATGCCTGTGCTAGGATTGGCCCATAGGTGGCTCCCTTTCCCCAGAGAAAGATTACAGGTAGTAACTGGGCTTAGTGTATAACCACAGAAGATCAGAGGCTGTTACTGCAGCTAAGAGGAGAAAAACTCTGTCCACATGTTGGATGAGCAGGTGTCCACATACCTTTGGACATGGTGTGTTTAATACTGAACTAGAGAAAAGGACACTCGGTATCAGGAGCCTCTACAGCTCTAAATACAGGGAGGCACCAGCACTGGAAGAACTTCCTCCATCTGCTGAAAGAGGTAATCATACTTTAAACGTGATGTGTAGAGAGGGATGTTGCCCGGTCCAGATCTCTGGTCCTGTGGACATTCTCGCAGAATTCGGACCTGTGCTCTGTGATGTTCACTGATGTACTCACTGAGTGTGTTTACATGCATTTAATAATCCAGTAACTGCATCTCGCGGCGACGCTGCTCGCTCATTTCCGGTACCTGTGACTGTTTTCACACATGAGCAGACTGAGCTAAAATCCAGCCTCTTGATCGGATTTCTTAATCGGATTTCTAGATTGGAGTATGATGTTTACGTGACCATTTGATAATCGGATAACTGAAAAATCCTGTCATTAAGATTGTGACACTTATTAATCCCACAATGGGGAAATTTCACCTCTGCGTTTAACCCATCCGTGCAGTGAAACACCACATACACACTAGTGAACACACTAGGGGGCAGTGAGCACACTTGCCCGGAGCAGTGGGCAGCCCTATCCACAGCGCCCAGGGAGCAGCTGGGGGTTAGGTGTCTTACTCAAGGTCACTTCAGTCATGTATTATTATGGATTATTGAGTGCATGTAAACACTCAGTGCATCATGCTGCGTCTGTAAGGATGCACAGCAGTGAGCATATATAAACTGATGGAGTGCGTATGAGCTTGAGCCACTTCAGTTGTTCAAACTGACCAAAATCACATTTGAACATGAATTGTTTTACAGCAGGATACTTCATTTGTTTATTATTTTTATGTAAGTTTTTCTACAATTAACTATTTCATATCCTAACCACTGCATTTGCTTACATCAACAAATTAATTATGCAGAATTTCTGAAAAATGGGTGGAATTTCCCTTTGAACCTGCAGAAGAACGGTGCTGTAATTTGGCCACGTGTGTGACAAACACCAAAGACACAACAATTCAGAGCACCAAAAAAAGCAAGGTTTATTATTAACTCTCCAAAATTACACATGTACTGGAAATTTTCTGTGTAATCTACAAAATACAAACATTAATTAGACATTAGAAAAAAATAATCTGTGCAAACTGTTTAGACTTCTGAAACATCGCTTTAAATATTACATCATAAACCCAAACTGGCCTGCAGGTAAGTACAAAACAGAAATATTATACATTGCAAACATAAATAAATGTTTTTTTAAAGTATAAAACACTAATGCTTAATACTAAACAGCAAAATGGTCCTTGATAAATGTTTGGTATTTGATTCGAATAACATTTGAAAAGTTAAGAGCTTATCAGTAATTAGTGAGATCCATTGTTCTAAAAAGAGTTTGTTTTTGGTGTAGATTACAGTCCTGAACTCGGCCGCTTGACCACACAAAACACGTCCAAAAACATGGTTAATACTCGAGCTTCACGAAATGCAGGAGCTCGTTTAAAGAGGGTTCGAACCAGGCGGTCCGGAGCTGCTCAGACAGTCAGCCTTTACTCCACAGCAGTATTTGGTATTTAAATGGTGCTACGGCTGTAAATTATGCCTCTTTCTGCAGATTACTGTGTGCTAAAGGTGCGGTTTTTGGGTGGACACTGAGACGGTGCTCTAACTACAGTGATCCAACACTGTTTTTGCATAACTTAGTGTGGAGAATAAGATAAAAGACAAAGAGTTATAAAACTAAAACTGTTTACATGCCATGTTATACTCCATTTTCCATAAACGAAGGATGTAGGTAATTTCATCCTGTGTCACTGCACTTGTCTTTTAAGAATATAAAGGTTACGTTTGTGCAGAAGCGTCAGAAGGTTTGCGTAAAGTGACCACGTGATATGACCAGCAACATCATAAAACATGAATCATATTTCCCTGCACTGGTCACATGAGGTCAGATACATAGAACAGAAAACTAGATGTAAACAGAACTTTCCTTCCCTTTACCAAAAAAAAAAACAAAAAACAAAATATTCATGATTACCAAACGTAGAGCGTCTCCTATCGCAAACCTAAAAATGAGGAACTTGCAGAGCGCATGATTTGTGGATAAACAATGAACCACATGAGACTTTGGATTAAAATCCTAAAACTTTGTTTTAGTCTTCTAAGTAAGGATGGTTAGAAAATGTGAAATACAAAAAAGTTCTTTTAAACTTTCTAAATACTCTTTTGCCTGAGTTCTTCTTCACTGACCTGAAGTCCTAAGCTTACATCCAACCTGCTACGCAGAATCCTAAAACTGAAGGCACGCAGCTCATTTTACGACGTCCAAGGGCTGCATTCTTAAACACGCTGTTCGAAGCGCTGATCAGGAATTAGTGTTTGGGTTTCATCTTCTGATGAATGCTGTAAGTACATCAATCAGGCGCAACATTCTGACCACCTCCTTGTTTCTCTGCTCATTGTCCATTTTATCAGCTCCACTTACTATATAGGTGCACTTTGTAGTTCTACAGTTACAGACTGTAGTCCATCTGTTTCTCTGATACTTTGTTAGCCCCCTTTTACCCTGTTCTTCAGTGGTCAGGACCCCCATGGACCCTCACAGAGCAGGTACTATTTGGGTGGTGGATCATTCTCAGCACTGCAGTAACACTGATGTGGTGGTGGTGTGTTGGTGTGTGTTGTGCTGGTACGAGTAGATCAGACACAGCAGTGTTGTTGGAGTTTTTAAACACTGTCCACTCACTGTCCACTCTATTAGATACTCCTACCTTGTCAGTCCACCTTGTAGATGTAAAGTCAGAGACGACAGCTCATCTGCTGCTGCACAGTTTGTGTTGGTCATCCTCTAGTCCTTCATCAGTGGTCACAGGACGCTGCCCACAGGACGCTGTTGGCTGGACATATTTGGTTGGTGGACTATTCTCAGTCCAGCAGTGACACTGAGGTGTTTAAAAACTCCAGCAGCACTGCTGTGTCTGATCCACTCACACCAGCACAACACACACTAACACACCACCACCACGTCAGTGTTACTGCAGTGCTGAGAATGACCCACCACCCAAATAGTACCTGCTCTGTGAGGGTCCATGGGGGTCCTGACCACTGAAGAACAGGGTAAAAGGGGGCTAACAAAGTATCAGAGAAACAGATGGACTACAGTCTGTAACTGTAGAACTACAAAGTGCACCTATATAGTAAGTGGAGCTGATAAAATGGTCAATGAGCGTAGAAACAAGGAGGTGGTCAGAATGTTACGCCTGATGGGTGTAGACTGGCCGAAAAAGCCTGCCTACATAAGCATCTCTGCTTATCTAGGCAAGACTAAACGTGCTGATCTAGGATTAGACTCACCAGCTCATCCAGAATCGGCGCTCCTGAAGAGCTTCCAGAATGCAGGCCTTGATCTAAGCGGAAGCGATTCTGAGGCGGTTCGTTCACGTCACAGAACAGCAGTGAGGTCTCAGAAGGGTGAGGTTGAAATGCTTGTCCTGTTCAGTGAACTTGGAAAACGTTGAAAGCATCACTTCTCAAATCTGCCACTTCAAATCGTGACACTGTTTACATACAGAACTTTTACCTGCTGTTGCATTTCTGCAGGTATCAAGTACTGGAGCTCATTCTATAGACTCAACATTTCAGAGAGCTGATGAGAAACATTCTCTTTAAAGCGACACATCAGTGTTTTTCAGCCCAACATCTCTGTCCTGTATGAGCAACAAACAGACGATTTCCATGAAAAATTATCGCCTTGTGGTAAATAAACAGAAAACCTGTAAAAAACACGTATAAAAGAAGCCAATGGTGCTTTTAAGACTCCAGCAAAGAAGAAATAATTTCCACCACATAACAATTCATGTAAACTCAAATATGGCATCTATGAGAGTCTAATTACTCAAACAGATTTGTTGAAAATCAAACATGGATATACACTTTGAAATTGCTTGATCCTTGTAGTTCTGGCTCTTCAGTTTCTGACCACAGGACCACCATCAGCGGGATATTTTTGAATGTAATTTAATATACACAATGACTTTTCACCCTGGGCTTCAGGGATTATCTTAGAATTTTAATTATCTAATAGAAAAAAAAATTCATGTTTTATAAACTTTAATTTATAAAATCTATTTTAAGACTGTATTTATTTGTAACAGTCAGCAGGAACCCTGTATTAATGTTTTTCTGTTGAATGTGTTTCCTGTTCTTTTCTAACTAAAGGGAAGTTGCTGTCTGGGGAAATCGGCTGTGTGTTACAGATGCAGCAGATAAAGATTAGGCTGAAGAACAGCGGCCCTTAACACAGCTAATATATCCTGTTCAGGACAGGCTGGAAGGTTAAGTCGTTCTGTGCCCTGATAAGACTGTGTAGTGTTTTATTACTAATTACTGCAACTAGGCTGAGCGCCAGGCTACCCAGACACTGTAAATGGCATACTTTCTAAATAATAATAGTAATAATAATAATAATGATAATCAATTTAAAACAACTAATTAAAAAGCATTACATCTCACCGTTAGTCCAGTTCCATAACTTTCCCATCAAAAAAAAGAAAGAAAAAAAAACAAACTAGCACTGGTGAAAGTACCACCGCTGTATCATAACCATAGTTTCCACATTTTGCTTGAAAACAGCTCAGTTAAGCGTAAGACTTTCACAGTCCGTCCAAATAAGAGGAACAGAGACTAAAACTGGAGAATTTGCTTCGTTTTTTACACGAATCAAATGGAAAGCAGGTCCCGTTAGTACAGTAGAGACGGTGCTGAGTGATGAGGAAAGTCCATACTGACATGGATGCTGCATGAGGACGCATGTGTGTTCATTGGTTACCAGTTTCCATGGAGATGAGAGGGAGCTGCTAGGTTTAAGGCATCTCTGATGGCTCCCTGGTCTCTCAAGTTAAAAGATGAGTGCACAGCTCCCAAACGACCAGACTGGCTTGATACAATCACTCTGTAGCCCCGAGGCCCTGTGGGAGAAAGCAAGGATTCAAATATTTAGACATACCATCACCGCTGTAAACAGAAAAATAATAATGCGTAGATGGGATCTGGACTCCAGCCATGCAGGCACAGTTTTTAAAGCTCACATCAAATCTGAGCCTGTTTTAACCTGATTACATCCACGTCTAGACTAGCTTTTGAGTGTTTCCCGAAAGGCGTAAACAGAGATTGAAATCAGAACTGAAAGGTTAGGTTTTGTGGCTTTAGAGCTCAGGGAAAAAGAAACACCGAGAATCAGCATAAGCTGTACACGCCTAATACAAGGTTTAACCAATGGCGCCGGCAACACCGGTAGCATGAAATCCCATCTGTGCCTCCTTACCTGGTTAGGACTCGCTCTCCACGGTCACTATGACCGTCAGGCCGTTATCTGTGGCACAGGAAACAATCACTGTTACACACAGCTACGAAAGGTCCAGCACATCTGTTAGCTTTTAGGTTTGTGTATCAGAACTTCAGAAAGTGGTCAGTTACGCTGCTCATAGTGCTGACAATCTAGCCGACAGTTAACCTCCATACTAATTATTGTGATTAACAATGTCTCTTTTTTGTTGATTGACAAAAGAGCTCAATCTCAAATAAACAAACATTACTCACCATCAGTCTCTAATCATGTTATAGTCAGGATTTAGGGCTTTTCATAAGACTCATACGTCTCGATAAATTCTTGGGTTTTTTTTAATTATTTGCCTCAACCTGACCAAACACATTCAATTCACACTGTTTGTTGTGACATAAACATGAGATGTTAGACTGAAAAAGTGGCATCTACAGAAAATAATGCAGTCAGGCGATTATCACAGTAACCCCCTTTGGAACAAAAGGGTTTACACAAGAGTCTTAGATTTTATGGTGTAATCTACATTTTGATGTTCTACACTGTAAGAATACAGGGAGATTCAAAAAGATTCATCCGATTTCAAAGCGCCATATTTTTACACCCATGAGGCTCTGAGGAACCAATCACAATCCAATTGAAAGAGGGGGTCATAGAGTTTCTGGCTGTCAGTGGAAGATGGCTCCCTTCAGTCTGAGAGGAGATGAGACCCCTGAGCAGAAAGCGTTCTGCGTTCTCCACTTCAATAAGAGTGAATCCGTCATAACTGTGCAGTGTGCTTTTCGTGGGTAGTGAAGCTCCAACAGCTCAGAGCGTTCGGCGTTGGTTCCACAACACTGGATGATCTCCGAAATCGCACTGAAAGAGCCGTGAGTGCAACGACACCCGACATGCTCAATCCAGTATGGGGTGAGTTTGACTATGGTGTTGATGTTGTCTGTACAGCTAGAGGAGGTTCAGACTGAGACCTTCTACAATTACATAAACTTTATGCTCATTTAAACCATTTACAGTTCACTGCACTGATCTGTAATGATTTATCAGTGAAATAAATCATTTTGGAAATCGGATGAATCTTTTTGAATCACCCTGTAGACTTTAGAACTTTTCATAAGACTCATAACGTCTCAATAAATGTGTTCATTTTATTTACGAGTATTTGCCTCATCCCAACAAAACACACTCAATTCACACTGTCTGTTGTGACATAAACGTGAGATGTTAGATGAAAGGTGGCATGTAAAAGTAAATGCAGTCAGGCGATTGTCACAGTGAAGACCTTTGGAACTGAAAGGTTTACACAAGCGCCTTCGCTAGATTTTATGGTGCAGTCCACATTCTGATCTTCTGAACTGTAAGTATATTTTATGTCTGACGGTGAAAAAGGAGCCTTCAGTCCTACCAGTCTTTCCAACACTGCAGTCCTTCTGTTCGTCTGAGTGCACATCGTTGCTTAGGAGATGATTCTGTGAGTCACTCAGTGGCCGGCTGTTCGTTTGGCCATCGACAGCACTGTAAATTACACACTTAGTCAGCAACAGGAGCCTTCTAATCAGCGGATGGTAATACTTTACCAGCATATCACTGCTGTCTGAAGAAAACCTCGTATCTCCATTTTTGCCGTTTTTCAGTTTTTAACACAATTTGAAAAAGCCTGTTGTCAAAAGAAACGGCTCAAAATGACTGAAAAAATTCTGGTTCCATTGACTTACATTAAAAGTAAAACTTCTCCTGTAAAAAGTTACCATTTTGGAGATACGAGGTTTTCTCCCGACAACAGCGATATTTGAGTTTATTCCATATATGGATGTACTGTTGCTGTCATAAAAAATGGTACAAAAATGACAGCTTTATATGAAAAGAGCAGGGAAAGAAACTTCTTTAACATAGAAGATTTTAATCTTGTGTCATTTTGGACCATTTCTACTGGTCCGTTCATGAAATGTTCACACAGTATAAAAGGCATCTGGTGTTTGAAAAGTTAGTATTACAGCAACAATACATAAAAATCAAATATCAAACTACTATAAGACCAGGCTATAGGTATATCGCTGTTGGTAACTTTACAGGACAAGGAAAAAACCTACTTTACTTTTAATGTAAGTCAATGAAACCAGACTTTTTTCTAAGTCATTTTGGGTCGTTTCTTTTGGTCCATTCATCATGAAATTTACACACAATGTAAAGGAGAACAGGCATTTTCAAATTATGTCAAAAACTGAAAAACAACAAAAATGGAGATGAGAGGTTTTGTTCTGACAGCAGCGATATACATCATGTACAACATGGTAAATGAATCCTTATAATTAGTTGTACGATACAGAGGGTAAAAAAATAACTAATTAATAAGGAGATAATGAGGGGATTACCATTTGGAGTTGCTCTGGTGGTCCACAATGCCCTGTTCAGAATCAGTGTTGACTAATCGAGTAGGGAATGTATAACCATCTCCCAAACTTCACGAAGAAAAAAAACAGACAGTGGTTACTCGACCCATCCTGGCCAGCCATTCACATTAAAGCACTTTGTTAATGACTGTGATAAGAGGATTTTGACATCCCATCAAATCATTCTTCACAAAGTAAAGGAGTGCTCTCATCAAACACTGATAGGGGAACAGGACTCCTTCACTTATCTAGCACACTGACATCTTCCCTTCGTTTTAGAGTTTACTGCCATGCTGAAGTTCTACTGTGGATAAAATGTACACTGATCAGGCAAAACATTCTGACCACCTCCTTGTTTCTACACTCATTGTCCATTTTATCAGCTCCACTTACTATATAGGTGCACTTTGTAGTTCTACAGTTACAGACTGTAGTCCATCTGTTTCTCTGATACTTTGTTAGCCCCCTTTTACCCTGTTCTTCAGTGGTCAGGACCCCCATGGACCCTCACAGAGCAGGTACTATTTGGGTGGTTGGTCATTCTCAGCACTGCAGTAACACTGACGTGGTGGTGGTGTGTTAGTGTGTGTTGTGCTGGTCTGAGTGGATCAGACACAGCAGTGCTGCTGGAGTTTTTAAACACCTCAGTGTCACTGCTGGACTGAGAATAGTAGAGAAACAGATGGACTACAGTCTGTAACTGTAGAACTACAAAGTGCACCTATATAGTAAGTGGAGCTGATAAAATGGACAATGAGCGTAGAAACAAGGAGGTGGTCAGAATGTTATGCCTGATCGGTGTAGATTTCAGAACTGAATTCGTTTCATAGGTTTCATTAAATGAAATACTAAGGGAGGATAAATGCGAAGAGATTCTTAATTCCTAACTCGGAGGCAGTCGTACTTCAGTCAGGCTTTTTTTGTAGCACATGTTCTTGATAAGAACTGTAACAGCATTTCCTACATGAGTGAGTGATAAAACGCTGCAACATAAATGACATTTGAAATATGGTTTTACCTGGAATAAATAGGCAGAAACCAGTATTTCTTTTGGTCTCCAAAAACCTGGGTGAGATTCTTGCGGAAGCCCAGAGTGAAGCCGTTTTTATCAGGGCCGTTTCTGAACACCGGCGCTCTGAACGCCTCTGTCAGGGGGAGATAAACATCACTGACTGTTGCTTGAATTCCACTTTAAACACCTTTTCTCTCACAGGTATTACAAAAACCCACAGCAGTCGCACTGTCCATTGTCAGAAACCACTTTAGCCGTCTGTGCAGACTGTGGCTGTGTTTTACTGTGTCCTCTATTAGATGTGATCCAAAAAAGTTTATTATGTACCTGCAAGTGTTTCTGCTCTGCCCTGTTAACCTTAACAACAGTCTTATCAGAAAGGCTTGTTGGTCACTGAAGTAGGGAGGTTCAATAAAAGGGCACTGAACTATCAGTAACACATTCATGTCCAATAACTAAATTTAGTACAAAACTCACTTATGGTTTGATCAATTTTACAACTTAATTTAAGAAAATACTGGGTTGTCTGTTAAAAGGTAACTCCAGTTATTTTTTAATTTTCTGTATGATTCAGTTGCTGAGATGCAAAGCCATTCAGAGCCGTTTAACGCGCAACGATGCACTGCAGAGAAACTTGACACGTCTGATTTAGAATCAAGGTGATTGGAACAAGGGGTCGCGATACCCACAATGCAAATATAACCCTTTTTTACTATCCAGTACGTCCTACATGTACAACCTACATGAGTGTTTTATAGGCTAGTGGGAAAGTACTGAGTGTGTTTACATGCACTCAATAATCCGATAACTGCAGAAAATCAGATTTTGTCAGAAATCCGATCAACACTTTTACATGCACTTGAATAATCAGATAATGGGGAAACTCTTTGTCTGCATGAGTCAGACAGTAATCAGATATCTGCTTTGTAATCAGCCAATAAACTCACAGAAGAAGACGCGACAAACGTAACGTAAAGCTCAAACTTCATACTGCAGCTTTTTTTAAATATCGAACCACTTTAGCTGAAAATGTGAAAACACATCATCTAGAAGATGAAGAATATTTAAATCCTTCGTGTTTGGTTTCAGCACTGGTGTTTTGCTGCGTCTCACGACATCCACCGTCTGATCTCGCGCAGACTGAGAAATCCGACAGAAATCAGAGTAAGAGTTTACAGCACTGAGAAATCTGATTACTGAGCTAAAATCCAGCCTCTTTTCAGAATATGGTGTTTACATGACCATTTGAATAATCGGATAACTGCAGAAATCTGATTATGATCGGATTATTGAGTGCATGTATACACACTCATTGATAAAACAGGTAACTCAGGGGGCTGTTTTTCCGGCATCCACCATGAATGGATTTTTAAAAATACGTTTTAGGCCCAAAACCTTCAGATTACAGACGAACAACGTCGCAGACATCAGGCAGCATATCGGTAACCATTTAGTGTAACATCTCTCTGTGACGTAGCTTTCAGAGTCATTAAACTCTTCGGATTGGTTCCCATCACCGCTGTTATGATGAATTCTGAGCCAATAAGCTTCTCCAAAACAGAGCCTTTCACACCAAACCACTCTGAATGACTGTGTTTACATCTTAACCGTTAAATTATGTTATAATAAAATAAATGTTGGTGAAATATCAGTGTGATTCCTACTTTAGCTACAGAGTCTGTTGAGGTGGGTTACCTATAGTAGTCCTGTTCTTGGCAACAAGCCAAATGTGGTAGCTGAACAGGGACATGATGCTGATGAAGAACATGGCCGCCACGAAGAAAAGGAACAGCACATGGAACTTAGCATGATTGTCCGGCAGCTGATTCTGTTCGGGAATCGGGAGAAAAGGAGGACAGTTTTAAACACGACTTTAAAGCAAAGGAAAAAAAAAGGTGAGGGGCAAAATCAGCTACTCTAAAATCTGATATGAACTGAACCGAAAATGGCACTGATTTTGCTACAGCTGGTAACTAAATGCTTTTACGATCTGATAAGAGCCTCATAAAAAACAGTCAACCACAGGAAGTCATGAAGCTATTTAAAGAGAAATCAGCATCATATGCACTTCAACGGAAACAACTTCTGACATGTGCAAACCACAGTTTAACCATATCACAGAAGCATTACCATGCATTTATCTAGGACTGCATGTGTTTCTTCTAAGCTGCTGTTACCTTACTTAATGCTTTCTACTGCTTTCTAAACACAGATCCGACAGCGTGAGTCATGCAGCAAAATGTTAAGCAAACAATGCCTATAAATAAGACTAATTAGCCTGTAGGCATGTAAAAGACTAGCAGCAGCTCTGACGTCTTTCCTTCGAGGAAATGGAGACCGTAATCACACACAGCACAGATCACACACGTTACAGGAGGAGCTCAGTCACAGGAGCAAAGCAAGCACATGGTCTTTACCTCGGGACAATGCTCTATAGATCGTCTTCGGCAAAGCTTTAGGCAGAACGTTAGAGACATGGACAGAATGTTAGATACAGACACTAGAGGTCTCTCTCTCTCTCTCTCTCTCTCACACACACACACACTCGCACATGCATCTGCACAAACACACATCCACAGTGCAAAGACAACAATGGTCTTTGTTTGTTTTAAGCTTTTTCACATATGGGTCAGGAACAATGCTTCTACAGACGTTCAACAAGGTCTGACTTTTGGAGCTGCGCTTCAAACCCGAGGGTTCAGTCAAACGGTTCACTTGGAACTGAAGTTAAGGCCTAATATGCTCGTACAGTACCGGTCAAGAGTTTGGAATCATATTAATACAGTTTAAGACTCAAAAACTCAAAACAAAAGGTGCTTTCAGATGTCAGACTCTCAAAATCTTCTGTTTATTTCATTAAATTATGGTTTATTTATCCTCATCTGATCTGTTTCTTGTTCAGTAATTTTAATGGTTTATTGATTTAAAGGTTTATTGGTACCTCCCTATTATTACATTTTACTATTATGATTTTTATTACTTTATTTATAGATATTATAAAGGATACATATACTGCAATTACTGATTTACAGGATTAGGCCTTATACCATTATAACTTCATGCAGACATTTTAGAAACTACAGGTCTGTTTATCATTAAAGACGCATGTCATTTTTTTCTTATTACTATTTTTAAACGTCCTACTAATAAATCGGAATCACACAAACTTCCACAAGACGACCACAGTGAAAGCAGTAGAGAGGGAACATGTTGTCGTGACGGCTGTGATTTGGTCGCAGACACAAGCTGAAGGCAAGTACTGCAGATAATCACAGCTGTGATATTAAACACGACCTGTGATATCGATATTACTGTGGTTTAAACAAGGCTTCTGCAAAATGAGGAAAAAATAAAGCAAAGAAGCCCTGATTTTGTGTTAAATGTGCTCTAATATTGTTTGGCTTTGGCTGAGCAGGTAGAGCCACTAAACTGCTGCAATAACAAGTTCAGCTTCCCCAGTATTTACCAGATTAACCTGAATGTTATTCTGTTCCACCCTGTCTGTGATGCATTTCACTGCCAGTCTTATTAGCTGCTCTGTATTCTGTTCGTTTCTGGCTGATTCCAGTTTGTTTGGTCACAGCTGTCAGCCGAAGCGCTGCTGTCACACTCTGCTACAGAATCTGACCAAACAGGCTGCAGGTTAATTATTATCCTATAGGAATGGTCTAATTTTCGAGTTCTTTGTATGTGCTGAGGTACAACATGGTAACCGTTCAGCTTAAGCTGGGTTAGCGTGAGCTTGTCATCACTCAGCACCCGGTGCTCAGCAGAATGACACCGTTCTCTCTCTCTGGCGTCACATGAACATTTTAAACTTTTAGTCTCTGACCACCAGCAGTCAGCCTGGCTGCTTCATCTCACTGTTTTATTTGATTTTACTTAACTTAAATATGATTTTTTGTATGTTTTAGCTATGGATTTACTTTTTATTATTCTTTTATTCCTTTTATTAGTATTCTTCTTATTTATTTTATTTTATTTATTTATATTATTATTGCCAATTTATTGTCTGACATTTTATTTCTTTTAATTTCATTAATTTAGGTTTTTATTTCTTTTATCCTTATCTAATCTGTTGCTTGTTAAATTACTATATTATAATTTTAATGGTTTGCTGATTTAATGGTTTATTGGTACCTCCTTATTATTAAAATTTTACTATTAAGATTTTTTATTACTTTATAATAACATTTGATTTCTTTTTACTACCCAACTTCTCAATCCCTGATCTTTGAATTGGCTCGGCTACATTGTAAATGAGGGTCTCCCTTTAATGTATTCCAAGTTTAAATAAAGGTTGATTGGTTGATTGTTAAAAAAAGTGCTATCATCACAAACTACATGGGCTGAACCTCTCAGACTGCATCATCGGACAACTAATGTGTATAATACACAACATGCAGTCATACTGGTTCTGTATCATTGTTGAATGGTTCTGTATGTTAGGGAAAGGCGATATGACAAAAATATCATACTGCGATACATATCACAATATTTTAACACAGATATGATGCACCAGTAGTGCTGTGTTTAAAACCTGTCATCAATAATGTATTAATTATGCTCTGTTTTTAATGAAAAATGCAGTTGGTCACTGTTCTATATCTATGATATGCTCAGAAAAGCACACTGTTTATCACGATAACAACATTTATGTTAACAATAAAATATTGTCATATTAGCCATCTCTAGTGTATACGTTTGTTCATTAGCATTAGAGAGAGTGTGTGTGTGAGTGTGTGTGTGTGTGTGTGTGTGTGTGTGTGTACTCACTGTCCAGAATTTGATGAAATACTGCAAGACAGTGGCTGCAATAAAAACACAGTACAGCATGGAGTAGGCCAGGAACAGCACAAAGAACTTGTAGTTTGAGAAGCCAACGCAGTTATTGACCCTGAGAGAGAGAGAGAGAGAGAGTGAGAGAGAGAGTGAGAGAGTGAGAGAGTGAGAGAGAGAGAGAGAGAGTGAGAAAAACAATGGCAGAGGTACGAACTCATAAACTGCTTTTCTGCATGTCATACACACAAATATACCACCAGCTGAAACTGACAACTCCTCCCTCATCACAACCCCACCCAGCTGTCCTGTTTCACACCTCACTCCTGCCAGTGGTTAAACGAGACAGAATACATTTACCAACAAACTCGTTACATCAAAGCTGAAAAACATAGGGAAGAAAATCAACTCGCAGTGTTTCAGTAACTCAAATGAGTTACAAATATAGTCACATGACCAATAAAGAGGGCGCGGTTAGAGAAGGGACTAAGACACTAGTTCAGTACTCTAGTTGGGCTACATGTACTGAGAAGATGCCATATTACACATTCTAAAACACATAGTTCCGGTCCTAAAATCTGATTGGCTGAGCCGCGTTTGAAGCTGTTGTAAAATCCATGATAATACGCACATCTATGACGCATCACAGCAACTGAACCGTGTTTCACTGCGCCACAGCATGAAAAACCCTTCTGCTGTTAATGAATAATCTTTGACTCTAATGCTGCTCGCATGGAGCACCGAGTGCACTGATGAAGTAAGAACCCGGTTCTGTTTAAACTGAGGGGCTGGCAGCTTATGTTCTTAACTAGAACCAGGCTGGTCAGCTAGCTAACAGTTTTAAAGATAGCAAAAATGCTAACCCTTAGTAACCTAAAATCTTTTTTTGGTATTTTGGGTTGATTACAATCATAAAGTATTTACATGTGACAGTCACACAGGCCATATGTTATTTTCAGGAGACCCTGGGCTGCTCAGATATGCCATTATTTGATATGTAAATGCTGACAGAAATATGATATCTTTATGAATTTGGGTCATTTCTGATCTAAAATTTACCCAGCGCCTGCTGAATTTTGTATTTTTTAATTGTAGAGATCTTGAAAACAAGTGCAGTTGTAGTTATCTCTTCAGAAGTTGTCAGTCTGGAGTGTCTGTGAGCTGAAAGTGCAATAATTTTGATGGTGATTCATTCTGTTGGTTATTATGAGTACAATTAGAATAAGACGGACATGTTTTTTACTGATTTTCTGTCCTCTTGGATTCAGGCTGAGTGCTAAAACTCTGATACACAGCAAGACTGGCTTTATTTTTAATTACAAATTGTGTTGCATATTTAATATCAGATATTTTTAAAACTGTAAAACGGCAGCATAAAAGTCTAAAAGATGTCACGAATTGATTACGCGTTTCAAATGTCCGTGTTTCAGTCAGAAGTCACAGCAAATGTTCAGTGTTATACGACAAAAAGTTAAAATGTTCATGAAATGACGACAATATACAGCGACACAATGGCAACGATACCACACGCTAAAGGAACTACATTTCTAGGCAAAATACTTGCTTATGTCAATTATTATTAATAATAACTTAAATCAAAAATGTGTATTTTATTAAATTTTATGTTGGCGACCATTTTACAAAAGCAATAAGCCACGAAACGCTGTGCGATTTTATCATGGGGATGGGAGTTTTAGGTCTAAGTAGGAGTTTTAGGCCTAAGTAGTGTCAAAAACTCCAGCAGCACTGCTGTGTCTGATCCACTCAGACCAGCACAACACACACTAACACACCACCACCACGTCAGTGTCACTGCAGTGCTGAGAATGATCCCACCACCCAAATAGTACCTGCTCTGTGAGGGTCCATGGGGGTCCTGACCACTGAAGAACAGGGCAAAAGGGGGCTAACAAAGTATCAGAGAATCAGATGGACTACAGTCTGTAACTGTAGAACTACAAAGTGCACCTATACAGTAAGTGGAGCTGATAAAATGGACAATGAACACAGAAACAAGGAGGTGGTCATAATGTTATGCCTGATTAGTATAAACTTCCCAAAGAACATCGGTTTCCTGATGTGCTGTGAGCATCGAGTGATTAGTCAGACGCTCATTTTCATATCGTCATACTGCAGACTGTCAGTACTGCAACGGTCGGTGGTCTGCACTACAGTAATTCACATTAAACAGAGTTGTTTTAAAGCTACATACCAGGGGCAATGATGATCCATTTTCAGGACACACCTGAAAGAAACAGAAACATCACAGAATCAAATGGAAGTTGTTTTTAAAGGTGATGGGACATATTGATTGAGATCTGAATGAAGGGATATTTTCTAACTGGTCACATGTGGAGCAGTGATGGCATCTGTCCGGTTTGATCAGCTGACAGCGATCACAGTATCGGATAGCTATGAAAAACAGCAAATGGATCAAAAAATAAGAACATAAAAAATATCAGCTACACCACAGAATTATCACAGTTACATCCATATCTAAATATTCTATTCTATTCTATAAACTTGTGCTGCTTTTTGCAACCCATCATAGCCAGCCGACCTAAACCGCTGCAGCAGTATTTAGTCGATTGTCTCTGATGTTTTATTTAGTATTTCTGGTGCACTGCTGACCTCCAGAGCCTGTACGGGTGTATATGGGTAAATTCCTGCCCACTTTCTTGAGGATCTCCTGCTGAGCCTCTGGTCTCTCCTCCTTTTCATACTGCTCCTTCTCTGCTTTCGGCAAACAGAACTGAGGCCAACAGGGGGACAGAGTTAAGAGTCTGTATATCTGTATATGCACAAGTGTACATTTAAGCTGAATTAGCATTTGCAGTTTGTGATTTTAAATAAACAGCGTGCCTCCACTTCATAATAACAGAACTGCTGTGATGTTAACTTGCCAAAAATACATTTAAAAAGCGTTTGCAGAAACACACATCACACACATGACGAGTGAGGCGAATGACATGCATGCAAATATTAAATAAATAAAGGAAAAATGCACCAAGCCTCAAAACTACAGGCTTCTTTGATGCTCGCCTTGCTGTCATTCTCTCGTCTGTCATTATGGTTTGTGGTAATGTAACTAAAGGCCAGGCAGTGAGCCGCCCAGCAGGCCGTGCCCTCTGGCATGTGAGGACTACTGGAAAGGGGTTGAAACACTGACACAAGGGGCCGTATTACAGAAAACTCTGAGTCTGAGATCTGCTTTCTTATCATGGCAACTTCAGTTAAGACTGAATTTGGGACAGAAGCAACTACAGAACAACAGCTCTTAAGTCTATAATCTCTTATTTCCAGATAAGAAAACGGTTTTACAGAAACATCCTAAGTCGCTAAAATATCCTAAATATTTTCTTAACTTTAAGTTAAACTCCAGAGTCTTAACTTCTGTTTAACCGTCTGTTTCTATTGTTTTATACAGTGATGGGCAGCTCAGCTCACTATAACCAGCATAGTGACGCCACATTTATCTACACTGAAAACGGAGCTTTGAGTTGTGTTTTTATTAACAGCGTTTAAAACCCCAGACGCTGCAGACTCGATCTCCACCGCCCCTCTGATCACCTTCATGTGTTAATGTTGATGATGAAATATTACAGTGATGGTGGTGAATAATGAGGAGACGGAGCTGAACGTGTGTCTGTTTATTAGGAGGAGTAACGTTAGCGCGCTCGGCTAAAGCGTTTGGGAAATGGAGACTGAAACTGTAGAGCGGTGACGCTCTGATAAACAGCAGGGGGCGCTGAGACAATATTCTTAACTTTCAGTTTATTGCGCTTTAGTTTTGTTTGATCTTTTTTATAACAGTAACAGTAGCTAATGTTAGCTGTCGGACTGACTAACTTGATTATGTGTTTACGTTTCAGCTGTGCGCGTAGGTTCGGTTGCTAGGTAACAGACACGACAGTTGATTGTCGACTTCAATCAAGAAAGTTAAGATTTCCTAACTTGAGATAAGATAAGAAGCTGTAAGATAAGATAAGATTCTTAAATTAAGGTCAGATTTGCTTCTGTAATACGAATTTGTGAAGAATCTTCCCAGTTAGCAAAAGGCTCACTTTTGGGCCGCATCCTTGGTTTGTTCTGGCCCAGAATACGGCTCTGTCCTCGGCCCAGATCTGGCCCACACACTGTAAAGTGGGTAGAACTAAAGGATGTGGCCCAAATGTGGTCCTAATCTGGCCCAACTACACTGTTGGTCTACAATATTTACCCCAGAACTGTCTCACAAATGTAGCAACTAGGAAAAACGGTATGAGATCCAAGATCTGGCCCTGGTCTGGCCCGCATGCCTAACAGCTACCCTGTAGTCAACTAACACTCACATAGGAAAGCCAGAATTGGCCCAAAACTGCCTGCTATCTGGGTTATCTTGACCTGTCAGATCGTAAGTTAAGATAAAAAGATAAGAAGTTTCTGTAATGCGGCCCCTGAACTCTACAGTCTAATTTGTGAGGCAGATCTTCTGGAAAAACAGATCTGGTACCATACACAACAAAGAAGAAGCAAAAGATGTAGAAATAATACAAAGAAAGTTGAATGAATACTGTACCTCTTTTGAAGGGTTGCTGGGTTTGGAAACAATAGTTTTCCAGTATGACCATATAAACATTATGAAGCAGATGTGAAACACTACCAGATAAATAACTGCAGAGAAAAAGACACACATTATTTTTTCAGTTGATTTCCACTTACACTAAAGCTACGTTCACATTACAAGCCTCATCGCACAAATCAGATTTTTTGCTCAGATCCGATCTCTCTGACAGGATGGTTCACACTCATTTAGGTAAGAGACTCAAATCTGTCGTTAATGTGACGAACCGGCGTCCTGAAATGACCCTCATGAGCTCATCCTACTCAGTAACGTCACGTGAATGAATCACGTTCATCATCAGCACAAACTAACGAGCAGAACGAGCTTCGCTGAGAAGATAATTAACTCTGATCAGCTCTCAGCTTCATTATTAGAGCGAGACGAAGGAGAAAAAGGTGAGATGAGCTGCTTTTCCACCGTTTACAGGCTTTAACTTCTGTTCGGCGCTGCTGCCATGGTAACGCTGAATGATGGAGCGAGCAGTGAAAAAAAAAAGCACATGAATTCCGATCTGAGCATCACATTAAGGTCACATGACCACGAATCAGATACGTATCCGATCTAGGACCACATATAAAAGTGGCTCAGGTCGGATTTGAAAAGATCAGATTTGTGTCCACACAGCTCTGAAAACATCAGATCTGAGTCACATTAGGGCAAAAAATCAGATTTGTGCCACTTCAGCCTGGTAATGTGAACATAGATTCGTTGATTTCTATACAATATCCAGTCTAACTAAGCTGTGATGGACGGGGTTCAGAGACCATTTAAAAAGGTCAGCATTACAAACAGGCCTGTCACAATTATCACACACCTAAAGGCAGCTATGTGAGTTGAGCGCAGTTATTTTCCACAGCTGTTTACCTGCAATCATACGTTTATGTTACAACAAATACAATGTGAACTGGAATTGCTACCATTTAAGGCAAATAAGTGTAAATGAAAGAGCAATAAACATTTCTTGGGACGTGTCATTGGTCTTACAGTGAAACTGTGAAAGCTGTAACTTCTGACTGGTGCTATAACACATTTATAAGGCAGCAGTGCATAATGTTTGTTTATTTTATGTTTATTAATAACACATTTAGAGGGCAGCAGTGCATAAGGTTTGTTAATTTCATGCTGATAACATTTATAAGGCAGCAGTGCATAACATTTGTTTATTTTATGCTAATAACCCATTTACAAGGCAACACTGAATAATGTTTGTTTATTTTATGTTTATTAATAACACATTTGGAAGGAAGCGGTGCATAGTGTTTGTTTATTTTTATGCTAATAACACATTTATAAGGTAGCAGTGCATAATGTTTGTTTATTTTTATACTAATAACACATTTATAAGGTAGCGGTGCATAATGTTTGTTTATTTTATGCTAATAACACATTTATAAGGTAGCGGTGCATAATGTTTGTTTATTTTATGCTAATAACCCATTTACAAGGCAACACTGAATAATGTTTGTTCATTTTATGTTTACTAATAACACATTTGGAAGGAAGCGGTGCATAATGTTTGTTTATTTTTATGCTAATAACACATTTATAAGGCAGCGGTGGATAATGTTTGTTTATTTTATGTTAATAATACATTTATAAGGCAGCAGTGCATACTGTTTGTTTATTTCATGCTAATAACACATTTGGAGGGAAGCGGTGCATAAGGTTTGTTTATTTTATGCTAATAACACATTTATAAGGCAGCAGAACATAATGTTTATTTATGTTTATTAATAACACATTTAGAGGATGGCAGCACATAAGGTTTATTAATTTCATGCTAATAACACATTTATAAGGCAGTGGTGCATAAAGTTTGTTTATTTAATGTTTACTAATAAAAACTTCAGGGGGCAGTGGAGAGTACTCGTTTGTTTGCGTCCTCTGTTGGGAGCTAATAAGCCTCGACTGCTAGGCAGCAACACAGCGAATCAGGCAATTCGGACGCTTGAGGCTCGTACTTTAATAGCCGCATAAAACGAGCAAAAAAGACAATTAAACTGTTCATCACAATTATTAATCAGCTAAAACCCCCCACTGTGACAGGCCCCACTGTGACAGGCCCCACTGTGACAGGCCCCACTGTGACAGGCCTAACATGGCCACAGCGTAACTAACGCACTCTTGTAGCACTGCGAGGCAATAAGAGCCTCGCTGTGTTGTACCGGCCCTCCCGCTCTTACCTTGCTCCTCAGCGTTAGGGATTGTGTCTGCAGGGGAGAGAGAGCGAGAAAGAGAGAGAGAGACACTGAGTTAGAGAGCATTCCATTGATTATCTGACAATCCTCTACCATTCAGACACAGCTGCTGAGTGGAGACTGGCAGCTGTCTGCCTGTCTCTCAACTCCTCTCCCCAGTCAGGCCAGTAAGGCCAGGCCACGGGGAGGCTGGCACTGCCATCTGGCACGGAGAAAGCCTGCCTTGTGTCCACCAGCAGGGAATACCTCTGAAATGATGACGACTGAGTGCCAGGTGGGGACATCTGCATGAGCTACATGTAAACTGTACTGTAAGCTTATTCAGTAACTCAGTGTGTCTTTACAGGACTGACTCAAGGAAACTGGCCAAAGCTCTGCACTCTGTTCCACTAAGCCCAGCATAATTGGGATGAATGACACAAGGAAGTGGACACTTATAACAGTGTTTATGTCTTATGGGAAGGAAGAGAGGGCCTAGGGCGTAACTTGGGAATTCCACCCTTTTTTTTCAGATTTTCGGTGTAATCCAATGGACGTGGTTTGGTAAGAAAAGCTCTGTTCTAGAGAAACTTACCGAGTCAGAACTGTTCACAGTGGTGGTGATAGGAACCAGACGTCCACCTCTAAAAGCTCCCTCACAGAAAGTTCCTACATGAAATGGTTATGAATTCACTGACCGATGACTGAGACACTGTTATATCCCTGATAGCAAGAGGATAGTGGGTCACTGTCGGCCCGCTGATAGCAAAGCTGGTGGTCCACATGCACTTTGCTCAGAGTTTTCCGGGCGGCCCACCGGTGTTTAAGCAGAGTAATAGACTAAATTCCACTATCACTCATTTTCCACTTACAGTATAATTTACTGATTTTTCCTTCCTTTCTTTAGTTACACTTTGTAAATTAGTTTAGTAAATAATTTTAATCCAGCAACATTTTCTATAAAATCATTTTACATCAGGCCTGGTCATTATTTTGTTCTCTCAGTTGTTTGTAATATTTGTCTTAGTTTTCCAAAATAAAAGTCTCTGTGCATTTAAAATCTGTTTGAGGAGATTAAAACTAGTTAAAGCATGTATGCAGGACAGTAATCTGGGTGGCCCGAGGGCGGACCAGCAGCGGCAAACAGTCAGCAGGGTGCTGACCTTATCAAGCCAGTGGACCAATATATCGCTGTTGTCGGAAGAAAACCTCATATCTCCATATTTGACGTTTTTCAGTTTTTGACATAGTTTTAAAATGCCGTTTCCCTTTACATTGTCTGTAAATTTCATGATGAATGGACCAAAAGAAACGGCCCAAAATGACTTGGTAAAAAGTCTGGTTCCATTGACTTCCACTGAAAGTAAAGTAGGTTTTCTCCTTCTCCTCTAAAGTTACCATTTTGGAGATACGAGGTTTTCCTCCAACAACAGTGATGTTCTTGCTGTCTGGGATGGTATGTACCCAAAGAATAAGGCACAATAGTAGCCATTCTTAATCATTTACCACTGTTTCACCATCATCAGCATTACTCAGAAATGAGTGTATGTTTTGTACAGTAAATAAAGTAGTTATATTTGCACTGTAGACATCGAGACTCCTAGTTCCCATCATCACTACTGTAAAGAAATAAGACCTGGAAAGTTTCTCTGCAGCAAACTATTTCACACCGAACCACTCTCAGAAATAAAGGTTCTGTTCAGGTACGTTTCTCGTTCATCAAGGTACAAACAGTGTAAATGTTCCCTCAAAGCTCCAACAGTGGTTTTAAGGTCTGATTGTGAACCTTAAATAAGTGTTTCCAGGTGAAAAGTTCGTATTTGCACCTTTTCATAACCGAATGTTTTAAACAGAACAGTAAAATAAAAGCCTGGAGACGAGACGGGGTGTGTGGAGTCAGTACAGCTTAGAACATATCATTTCAGTGGATTATGGTTCAGTTATGTTCCCTGACTAAAGGGACTGAGATGGAGCCTTGAGGGTTCCACCCCAGTGACAGTTTAGTGCCTTTATTTCTGAGAGTGTGGTCTCTCTGAATGACTTCGAGTACATCTCAAGTGCTGAATTATGCAGAAATTTTGGAAATTCGGTCAAACATCCCTTATAACGTGAGTGTGACTCAAAGGGAATGATCGTGTCCCTTTCAAAGAGCTCAGAAAGCTGGAGGGAAAGACTAGAACATTATTTATACATTTACCCCCAAAGCTGAGAGAGACAGAGAGAGAGAGACAGATAGAGAGAGACAGAGACAGAGAGACACAGAGACAGAGAGAGAGGGACAGAGAGAGAGACAGAAACAGAGAGACACAGAGACAGAGAGAGAGGGACAGAGAGAGACAGAGAGAGAGAGACAGACAGAGAGAGAGAAACAGAGACAGACACCTTGTTTGTTTTATTTTTGTCATTATTAATAGTAGTAATGGTAGTACTTTATTTTATTTTTATTTTATTTTATTTTATTGTATTGTATTTTATTACTTTTGGCATGTCCATATTCATTCTATGCTTATATGTATTACCATATTTATATTTCAAACTTTATAGCTTTGTTTAAATTATTTGTCCATATGCACTTTTGCTTAATTAATTGATTTTTTTTTTCATTATTTATTTCCATTAATTTATATCTTATTAAAATTCAACTTAACATGTATTTACAGCTTTGGCAACATAAATCTCATATCCTGTCATGCAAATAAAGCATATTTGATTTGATTTGATTTGACAGAGAGAGAGAGACACAGAGAGAGACAGAGGACAGACAGAGAGAGAAAGACAGAGACACAGACAGAGAGAGAGAGATACAGAGAGAGAGACATATATATATATATATATAGAGAGAGAGAGGAGAGAGAGAGAGAGAGAGAGAGAGAGAGACATACAGAGAGATACAGAGAGAGAGAGACATACAGTGTAAGAGAGATACAGAGAGAGTGAGAGAGTGAGAGAGACATCCAGAGAGAGAGAGAGACAGGGAGAGAGACAGACAGAGAGAGAGACAGGGCGATTTCGCCAGCTCAGCCTCGCTGACCGACATTGTGAAAACACCTGTTGAAACAGTTACGGAAACATGTCTCGTGTTGCTCAGCGGAGCGGAGCGCAGAGAAACCCGCGTGTTTACGGACCGTTTTGTCCGCGCGCGAGCGCCTCTGACAGCTGAGCAAGTTCCAGTCCGCCTGGTCAGGAGCTTCACAGGCGGCTTTACGGCTGAAGTGTCCGTCACACTCGAGCCCGACAGCCGCAGTTAAACCGTTACAGACAGCTCACAGCGCCACGGCAACGGCCCGGCAGAGCTCGAACAGGTACGCGTCGCCCCGTGGGGGTAAACATGCAAATGAGTCCAGATTTCTCTGATCTCATCCGCGGCACCGGGCAGTCACGGCCAGCCGCTCGCGGCAGCGCTGCCGTCCTCAAACCGACCCTGAGAGAAGCGGCACGGCACCGAGTCATACTCACAGATGCAGAGCTCCACCACGTAGGCGTAGTAGGACCAGCACACCACCAGGTTGATGAAGATAACCGGCACCCACGATAAGCCCCGCTGACAGCACCTCAGCGCGTGAGAGGGCGCCATCTTTAATCCGCCTGTGGAGAGGCTGTGACGTCGCGTCCCTCCGCGCGGCTCGGCCGGCACCGCGGAGGAAAACAAAGGAGGGTTTTTTTCGCTGCTGAACGAATCAGCACGGAAGGAGCGGCGAAGAGCGGAGCCAGCGGAAAAGAAAACCCCTCTAACCCAGCAGTTTCACTGCTCTACCTGTAACAGGTAACAGAGCGTTACTGCTAATCCGGACTGCACTGCAGTAAAATCCCTTTAAAAAAAAACAAACAAACCTGTCCAGAATTCTCACTTTCATCCATTCTTTTCATCTATTCTTTACAGTGAAAACACACAGCTCCGCTTCTGTCCAGCAGATGGCAGCAACACGATGGGTTGGTCTGGGTCGAAGCCTCAGGCTCCACCGCTGCTCTTTCAGCAGGGTGTGGTGACACTCTTATCAGGGTCCGGGGTGTTTGCGTGACTTCCTCTGCATACGGTGCCCTTTATTTGTACTCCTTTCTTTCTCGTGTTTGCAGATCAGAACATTGTGTTCCCTGTACGGTGCATAATCAACCCCTAAAAGCCCCTGAATGAGAGCGGAGGAGCACAGGTTCTCATCACTCCCCATACAGAAATCTGATATATGCAATAAATGGGTTCTGTGACATGTTATGATATGGATTTCCTTTCTATCCCACTAATTTTTGTCACATAAGGACGTCTATGTTACATATGCCAACTTATTTGAAATAGGCCATGTTAAAATATGGGTCATATGTTTCAGACAAATACAGGCGTATGTGTAACACACACACAAACACACTATATGGACAAAACTATCAGGACACACCTCTTAATCACTCACTTCAGGTGCTTCATTCAGTCCCGTTGCCACAGGCGTGTAAAATCAAGCACCGTACCAATATTTTTGGAGGTATGTGTCGCTCTAAAGAGCTCACTGAGTTCGAGCGTGGTGCTGTAATAGGATGACATTATTGCAACAAGTCAGTTTGTGAAATTTCTTCCCTTCTAGATTTTCCACAACTGTGAGTGTATTGTTGAAAAGTGGAAGCGTTTAGGAACCACAGCATTATTTATTATCTATTTATTTATACAACCTACACGTCTTTGCTACGAATAAAAACATAAAGTTTATTTCCATTTTCCATACATACCTACATCATCTAAACCGCTTATCCTTCTGGGTCGCGGTGGGGTGCTGGAGCCTATCCCAGCTGTCATTGGGCGGAAGGCAATATTTCCATTTTGTTATTTCTGGTTTTTTTTTGTTTTGTTTTTTTTTGGAGGGGGGTGATTTTTTCAATTTTCTACCCAGTTTAGTCGTATCCAATTCCACCCACTAGTTAGGACTCCACCAATCACACAGTACCAGCCCCCGCTAGGAGGGTGAAGGCAAACACCATCTTTTCGAACTGCTGCTAACGCAACGACATTGGACAGCCGAACGCATTTGGAGGAGAACGCTAACCGCCAGCTAACAGATGCCTGTGCTAGCTAGCATCTCACTAAGTAATGTGGGGACAGGGAGGGCAACGCCCACCCAGAGAGAGAGGCCACGGATGGCGGTAGCATCACCGGGGATTAGACTTGCGATCTCCTAAAGAAAAGGAGGAATGCTTGGACCGTTGCACCATTCAGGAGACCCCATCCATTTAGTTTTTAATTATAAGAAACTGACCGCGTCATATCGGGTAAAAAATCGGTATTGTGCCGTCTATAGTGTACGAAATTAATGTGTATTAAAATATAAGAATAGCCTGTTTGACAAAGGAAAGCAGCACAAAGATTGGACTGTAAGCCTTTATGCTAAATGAAATGTTTTAATGAAAACATACATACATCATCTAAACCGCTTATCCTTCTGGGTCGCGGTGGGGTGCTGGAGCCTGTCCCAGCTGTCAGTGGGCGGTAGGCAGGATACACCCTGGACAGGTTTAATGAAAACAGAAAAGCCAAATTGTTGTCACATGGTTTACTAAGGTGTGAGATGCTTTGGTCAGTTTATATAGACCGTAACATCTAAACTGGTGTAGGTTTGATGCATAATCCATATTTTATCAATGCAGAATAATATCATGTAAAAATAGAGCGTGCTGCCGGTGTGACAGCATCATGAGGTCTCCTTTGCTCTTTGCTTGCTCCTGGTTATGGCAGTTACATAGACTGTACTGGTTCTAAAATTATTTAATCCTAAAATATTTTAATAGCAGATGAACATATTTGTCTCTTTACTGCCTCGGCTCTGCCACGGGCCCTAGGGGGTCCTTCAGTTATGTCACAGGAACAAAGATTTCATTCACACGAAGCCTCAAAGACAGAGAGGTCTTGTGCTGAGATTGAATAGAAGCAAATGTCTCCTTCAGCCTCCAACTCACACACATTTCTAATAAAAACACATGAAGCGCTGATTAGTAGTTTATTTAAAGTCACTCTCACCTTTTGATGTTTCTGAGTTGTTAAATGTTTCACTGGTCAGTAAGATTTGGTCCAACGTAATGTTCCTCTAAAATGGTGTAGTGTGCTTGAGTGTCCTGCGTAGCTTGATAAAGAGATTAGGACGGAACCCTGCTGGAGTACCTTTGTTCATCCTGTACCTTTAGTTAAGCGAACTGACACTGTCAGGGCAAAACTTTGTATGTCAATTTTGTGTTTTTTTAACATAATTTGTAAACACCATATGTAAACAATGCCATTTATAGAGTTTCATAATGAATGGACCCTCAGAAATGAAAAAAGTTATTTGTTAATCAACCTACATTTTAGGTTAAGAATGTTGTTTTATTCTTCTGTAAATTTTTTGCACCATTTTGGAAAATAGTTGTTTTCTGTCAGTGATGAAATATTAACTAGAATCCGGTTTCTAGTTGGGGAGAGTGGGGCCCAACATGAAAAGGTGTTTGAGCAAGACTAATACATTTTTTATACAAGCAACCTACATATATTTTCTACAAATAAAAAAAACAAAACTTTGTTTTTATCCATTTATAAACAATTTATTGCGAATGTTACTACTAACCCCATAGGTGGTAGCATAGTTGTAACACTGCTCCAAAATGGTGCTATATTGCGTTGGGACAGTAGGTAAAAAGCAAATAAAAACAGAAAGCAGTGATTTATTAATCTACTTAGCCTTGTATTTTTACAAAAACAGTACAAAGACAAGATATGTAATGGTTTACCCTATTAACGTTGTTGTTTCTTTGTAATTTTTTGTATATTCTGAAATTGATGCTGCAACACGTTCCAAAAAAGTTGGGACAGCGACAATTTAAGACTAGGAGCATTGTGAAATGTCCAAAAATATCATAAAATTATGCTTGGGTATAAACAGAGCATCCAGAAAAGGCCTAGTCCTTTTCATGAGCCAGGATGGGTCGAGGCTTGCCATCTGCGCAAAATGTATCAGCACAAAACTGAGCAGTTTAAAAATAATGTTCCTAGTCCAGGAACTGCAAGGACTTTTTACCCTCTACAGTGCATAATAGCATCAAAAGATTCAGGGAATCCAGAGAAATATCACACATAAAGAAAAAGCCAAAAACCAGAAATGAACACCAGTGACCTTTTATCCCTGAGATGGCGCAGCATCTAAAACTGGAATGTTTCTGTGAAGGATATCATCACATGGGCTCAGGAATACCTTGACATACCATTGCGAAACCTGTTGTTCATTACTGCATCCACAAGTGCAAGTTAAGACTGCACTGTGTACAGGGGAAGCAATATATCAACAACATAGAGAAATGCTGCCAACTTCTCTGGGCCGAAGCTCATCTGAAATAGGGCTGATGCACAGCGGAAACGTGAATTGCGGCCTGACTTTTAATGTAAATTAAAGATATCATGTTCTCCCAGCCAAAGAAGACAAGGACCATCCAGATTGTTAAGGGCGTTAAGTCCAAAAGTCAGTGTGTTGCTTTGTATCCAGCTGTAGAAGGGGGTAACTTGTACATCTGTGAAAGCACCATTAACACTGAACACATTTTGGGGCAACATACATTGCATTATAGACAGGGGCGTCTCTACATTAGGGGCCAGATTTCGCTGTGGAGCAGTACATATGATCAAATAATTCAGTATAACAACTAATATATATTTTTTTCTTCGTAACTAACATTGTTATGCGTTTATTACATATGACAGTGGTAGGGCTGTCCAATACATCCCATATATCTTCCTGTGCCTGTTGTGTAAAAGCCAGTAGGCTCCCTATTTCTCCTATCAGTCTTCGTTTGGTGAGCGTGGGGCTCATTAGTGCTCGTCTAACCAAGTGAGCCGTTAAAAACACTCTACATGTTCAACACGCTTTCAATAACCAGCTGTGGGCCCGATCACGCTGGCCCCATACTGAGAGTAGCCAATAAAAAATAATACGTTTACATACGTCCAGACGTTCAGTAATGTTGTTTATGGTGTGGATGTTGCTACACAGCTAATCCCTGTTCCTCATCAGTTGTGGTAGCCACTTATAATAGCAAGGCAATATAATGAGTCAAAGCCAAAATCACTCTTCTGCTTTCCTTGCCTGCACTTGCTCTGCTATCGCTTGAATTCATCCATGGATTTGTGGACTTTGAGAGAAGTTTTTGACAAGTTTGCCCAGATAAAAGATTGTTGTGCATCTTGTCTTTTCGAGCAGTGAACATCACCGGTGAGTCATTCTACTTTATTATAAGCTGTGTTATTCCTAAAGCCCGGAAAGCGTGTTTCCCTACTGTGAAATGTTGTTTTGGATGTGTATTTGCAGACCAAAATGATCATTTACTGCTAGATAACTTTGGATTTCTAATGCGATGCTGTATAACCAGGTTCTGTGAGATCTGATGTCGTTATCACATCACTCATATTCTCCCACTTCCACCTACTCCGGCTCTTACGTTAATTTGTAGATGTGTGTTGTCATTGATGGAGTGTGTTTGTGTTTGGATCAGTTTGTTTGTAGTTTCATTGACGAGTCGCTGCTGCCTCTACAGTTTATTGTGCCCCACCAGACCTTCTGTTCTAGAGACGCCACTGGATAA